TCTGATTACAGCCCCTCCAGCACAAATTTGTGGCTTTTCTGTCATATCTTGAAATACCGGAAGGTGTTTTGAAGAACCTCATTTTTAATTTCCAGTCAAATTCCTTCCATCCTGGGCTGTGGGTGATCTTAAAACCTTTTACACAGATCTCCTCCCACTCCTCATCTTCAATAACAATATTCATTTCTAGTTCCCACTTTTGCTTTATGTCTGTAGAATTGTCAGAGAAATGCATCTGTAAATGTTTATATAAATTAGATACAATCTTCCTCTTATTATGGTCCTCTACACATTTTATCAGAAATATTTCTACGGGCGATGTATTTTGTTTCAAGGTAGGCCATTCTTTGTGTGATAAAAGGTAATCCCTTAATTGTAGGTACTTATAGAAATCTTTTGAGCATAGTCCATATTTATTTTGTAACTCCCCAAACGTCTTAAGAGGTTCTCCACTGAATAATTGATTAACTCTTATTAACCCTTTCTGTGCCCATCTCTGAAACCCCGTATCCAGTTTGTTTGGAAAAAAGTCAATGATCTTGGCTATTTTTATTACGCGGGATATTGTTAAAGGTGCTCCCAATTTCTTCCTCACCAGAGACCAGACTCTGTATGTACAGTTAATCCACTCATTTTCAACTTTTAAATCCTTCCACTTTTTTCCCTCCATAAATGGAATGGCTTCAAGAGGTACCAGTGGGCATGCATTGTTCTCCAGACTGATCCAGTTTGTCTCCTCATCCTGTACAAGCCACTCGACCACAACACGAAGTTGTGCTGCCCAGTAGTACAGTTTCAGATTAGGCAGACCAAGGCCACCTTTTTCTCTTGGGCTTAACAATAATTTCTGTCTGATTCTTGGTTTCCTCCTTTGCCAAATAAAGTTATTAATAATTTTATCAAAAATTTTAAAAGTGGAGGCAGGTATCCAAATTGGGAGTGCCTGGAATAGGTACATTAATCGTGGGAGCACATTCATTCTCACTGTTTCTATTCTGCCCAGAAGGGACAGAGGGAGAATCTCCCATCTAGCCAAGTCTGATTTTATTTGTGTGATTAATCTGCTGTAGTTTCCATTAAATAGTTGCGAGGTTTGTGGTGTAATCATCACCCCTAAATATTTGAATCCCCTCTTGGACCAGTTAAAAGTGACCTCTTTATCTAAACCAGTAGGCCATTTCCCCACCAACATCATAGCTTCTGACTTGGTTTCATTAACTTTATAGCCTGAGATTTCTCCAAAATCTTTTAAACAAGTCATAAGCCAAGGTATTGAGCTCAGAGGATTAGAAATATATAAAATAATGTCATCTGCATAAAGCGAAATTTTATGGGTGACTCCACCTGCTGTTATTCCATGAATTCTGGGGTCTGTCCGTATTATTTCTGCCAGGGGCTCGATACTAATGGCAAATAGTAGAGGCGAAAGGGGACATCCTTGCCTAGTTCCTCTTTTTAAACCAAATTTCTTTGAGGAGCACCCATTCACCCGTACTTTGGATGTGGGTCCAGAGTATAGCACACCAATCCATTTGATAAAGTCTCTATGGAATCCCATTTCTGCCAGTGTGTGTTTTAGATACTGCCAGTCCACCCTATCAAATGCTTTCTCAGCGTCAAGGCTGAGAAGCATTGAAGAATCCTGTTTTTGTCTTGCCATAGAGATCACATTTAAGGTTCTCCTAATATTATTTATCCCTAAGCGTCCTGTTATAAACCCTGTTTGGTCTGGTTTAATTATTGTGTGGATGCATTTTTGGATTCGATTTGCCAGTATTGTAGTTAAGATTTTTAAATCACAGCAGAGCAAACTTATTGGTCTGTAGGACGAGCAATTTATGGGGTCTTTGCCCTCTTTGGGAATTATAGATATTATTGCTTCTGACCAAGATTTTGGAGGGTCCTTATTTGTGAGGGCGTAATTAAATACTCTTTGTAGTAATGGCGTGACCTCTGCTTTAAAATGCTTGTAAAATTCTGCGGGAAATCCGTCAGCGCCTGGCACTTTACTATTCTTTAAGTGTTTTATGACCTCCTCAATTTCCTGTTTCGTAATTGGATCTCTCATTGCTTTGGCATCGTTTTCAGTTAATTTTGGTAACTTGATTTTACCCAATACATTCTTAATCTTCTCTGTTTTACTGTCTATTTCCTCTGAATCGTAAAGTCTCTCATAGTAAGCTGAGAAAGCTTCTGCAATGTCTTCAGGATGGGACAGCATTTTCTTCGTAAAAGGATTCATTATCTTCTCCACTGTGCGATCTGCCTGTTTCTTGCGCAACTGGAATGCTAGCAGCCTGCTAGCTCTATTCCCTGATTCATAATACTTTTGATTAGCGAACCGTAAAGCCCCCTCTGCCTTGTGCGTCAGCAAGATATCCAGTGCTTGTCTGCATTCGCCAAGAGATTTTAAGGTAGTTTCATCATTATTCTTCTTATGTTCCCCCTCCAATTGTCGTATGAAATTTTCTAACTCTGTTTTTTATTGCGTTCTCTTTTGATTTGGGATGACAAAGATATTAACTTCCCCCTCAGCACCGCTTTTCCAGCCTCCCAAAGAGTTGACACTGATACTTCTCCATTGTCGTTATGTTCCATGTACTCAGTCCAATCGTTTTTAATTCTTTGAACTATTTCTGGATAATTTAGAAGTGAAACATTCATTCTCCACTGTTTAGGTTGATTATTGTTCTCTAAAATTATTGTCATAACAACTGGACTGTGGTCTGATAATGTTATTGGTTCAATATGGCAATTTGTAACTTTATGTGCCTCCCTCTTAGAAACAAAAAATAGATCTATTCTGGAATAACTTCCATGGACCTTTGAGAAAAAGGTATAATCACGCTCCTTGGGGTGGCTTTGACGCCATATATCAACTAGCCCCATTTCTTCAATCAGACTCGGCAGAATTTTAGCCTTCTGTGGCACTGGTCTCTGGTCACATGGGTGTTTATCCAGTTTGTGGTTCATCACACAGTTAAAATCCCCTCCAACCAATATAAATCCGTCAGCTTTTGCTGTCAGAAGAGCTGAAATGTCCTTGAAGAACCTAGGATCATCTTCATTAGGCGCATAAATGTTTAAGAGAGACATTCTCACTCCTCTAATTGTACCCACAGCCAAAATGTAGCGTCCTTTTTTGTCTTCATATGTGTTCTCTACAACAAAGTGATCTATGACATAGGATGGCCACACCTCTCCGCTTGCCCCCCTCACATGAAGCACTGTAAACCTGCCCTACCCACGTCCTTCTGAGTTTTTTATGTTCTGTCTCATTAAGGTGGGTCTCCTGAAGCATTGCAATTGAACAATTCAGCCTTTTTAGCTGTGTCAAAATTTTATTTCTCTTTATTGGATTGTTCACTCCATTTATATTATATGTAATTACTGTTAGTGTATCCATTTTTGTAGCTTAAGGTTTTTGGAGTTTTCCCTTCCCCTTCCTTATAAACATACTTGTAGTTGCACTTAACTATAATCGGGGTAACATCAAAAGTCATGGTTACATAGAATATACTGTTTGCTGAGAGACACAGAACATTAAAGAAACAAAAAAGTTTTCCTGAACATGAAAAACAACTGTGAACTTCCAATACCCCAGTGGTTTGCCCCTGAAATGAAGTGAACACAAACAGAACCATACAAACAAACTCAGGGGATCCCCACCCCCGATCTTCTTTGGGCAGAGAGACAAGGCTCTCCGGGTATTGTGCACAAAGTGCCTGGGCGATGGTCCTCCAGGATGTCCCTGAAGTGTCCTCACACCGCCATGGTTGTAAAGTTTGCATCCTCCGATTTTCCTCCTTCTCCCTTCCCCACGGTTTAGTAGGTTATTTTCCAACAATTATGTTATAGCCTAAATCTATTTATTTAAATCAATATTTTATGATAAATGGTACTCCCTTACAAGTCCAGACTAGTTTTTTCTTTTATTCCACAAATATAATATTTCATATTCTTCATCACAGATTCTTGTCTCTGTTTACTTTCCATCCAGTTCTAGACCGGATCTGACAGCCTTACTCACGACCAAGGGCTCGCTCCTCTCTGTTGTCTCCATGGATAATGGCTCTGATCTCAGCAGGGTTCAGCTGTTGGCTCTTCCTGTTCTTTCTCTGGGTTGTCCATCCAACTCGTATGAGCTCCTCTTCCAGTATGTCTCCGTCCTCCAGGGAGGATTCAATGCCGAGGTCTTTCAGTGTAGAGTGTGCTGCTGAAAGTGAGGGGAAGAGTTTTGTCCCCCCGTTCATGAAGAGTTTCAGCTGGGCTGGGTATGGTGACTGGGCTTTGATGTTCTTTTCTTTTAGTTTCTTTATTACCTCTCTGACCTTTTTCCTTTTCTTCTGCAAGTCAGATGAGTAGTCATGGTCGAAATAGATCGTGTGCTCTTGGTACTTTATGTTTCTTTGCTTCCAAGCTTGTAATAGCACTTTTTGTTTTACATTAAAGTCCAGAAACCGGGCTATAATGGATCTTGGGCGCGCCGCTGCAGCTGCCGGCTTTGGGCCTAATGCTCTGTGAGCTCTTTCTAGTTTAATGACAACTTCTTCTTGAAACTCCAGAGAAGTGTTCAGGAGGTCTGTGATAAAGTTTACCATATCCTCTTTTTCCGCTCCCTCTGGAACGCCATACAGCCTAATGTTATTACGACGGAGTCTGTTTTCCATATCGTCACATTTAGCCGTGAGGATAGCTTCTCTTTCGAGCAAGTGTCCCAGTGCCCTGTCCTGCCGTCTGCTTCTGTCCTCCGCTTCAGTCAGTCTTCTGTCCAGACCCTCCAGTCGTGTCTTTAAGTCCTCCATGGATGATTCTACCCGGTGTAGAGAGCTTTTCAGGTCCCGGAATGAGTCGGCGTTTTCCTGCCGCAGTTTTCGTAATTCTGCTAACATCACTGTTTCCCCGCTAGCATCTCCTGCAGCTTTCAACGGTGTAGCTTCGGCTAACGTTAGCTGCTTAGAGCCAGCCGAAATGTCATCTTTTCTACCAGCCTTCATGTCCTTCTTCTTCGTATTTTGACTAGAAGTCCGTCCTCTTGAGCCCTTTCCTTTTAATTTAGTACTCATTTATCAATTTTCATTACTTTGTCGGCTATTTATTGTGGGTCTGGTGGAGCAGCAAAATTATGCGTCCGTCTTCTCCATTGCCTTCCCGGAAGTCCCATTTGTCTCGTTTTTGTTATGTCAGTACGGTGATTTATGATCGTTATGGGAAAAAAATTAAAAATCGGAGAAGTCATGTGAGTTTTGCAAAATGTATGTAATATCAATGTATGTATGATCTCCTGATAAAAAAAAAATAAAAAAAATTGTAAGTCTTGAGTTAAATGAACACAAAAAAGTAAGTTGTCATAGCAAAAGCCAAAGAATGAAGTGAAATTAATGTAAATAAATCCATAAGGTGAACCTCAGCCCAAATACACTTTTTAGAGTGTAGGCTAACTGGGTGCCAAACGGGGTGTGTGGTTCATTTGGCCCTTGGTGGCTTCCATCCTAAATACTACCCTGCCTCAGATACCCAGATACCCCCAAACAGAAACCAAGCCAATGACGTCATCCGGTGAACATTTCATAAATCGCCCTGTAGTCTTCCGGGGCCACTTTGGGACTTTTGGCATGGATTTAATCCCAGCACTGCTGCAGGTGTGACACTGTCACCTCTAGGGGGCGCTCACAGGTAAGCCTGAAACAAAACCTCCAGGGAGCAAAAGTCAAGAAATGTCAGAAAAAGGTAAAAATGGGAAAATTAAAGACTTTGTTTCAGAGATTTCAAAGCTTTACACAGATTCACAAGTTCAGTCAATGTTAATGTAAAATATGGAGTTTTATTAAGATGTTGGTTTTTATAACAACCCATTTAGTTTTCCATCCATGCTAATACATAAAGGCAAATGGTCCTTAAAGGTTCTTTATGAAAAAAACAAAAACAAACAGAACAATTCATAGTTTTACACAAATAATGAAAAGCAGAAAATAAAAACAGGAAAATCAAAAATAATTCCCAGTCAGCAGCAGAGCTGAACCTCATTTAGAGATAAAGCTGAATCTGTTCCCATCCAGGATTAGCTCAAGCTAACAAGCTAACCTGTCTGGTCTAAACCTGCTCAGATTTCAGATTAAAATCGGATTAAAACGGTTCCAGAATGTTCCAGAGGGGAAGAAACTTTTCTCTCTAACCCAAATATCCACAAGCCGAGACAGAACCTTCCAGACAGATTTTACAAACTGTTGCCATGGTTTCCATCGCAGAGGTTTCAACCCGCACTGCAGCTCACTACTGCCCCCTCTGGCCAGATTTAACAATACTTCCATTTTTTGGCTCTAAAATGAAATAAAATCCAGATTTTATTTCCTAACATGAAAATGATTGAGATTCAACTGACATAAAGCCGGTTCAGAGGTCCGGTTCTGTTTGGTCAGAACCTCATGGTTCTGTTCATCTGGACCGGACCAGACAGCCAAAAAATAATTAGATGAATTTTCACATTAATTTATTTTATAAAATTTATTATGACTGAGGTCAAAGGTCGAGGAGGAAAATGTTCTGGAGGTTCTGACCCGGCTGAGTTCAGGCCCGTTTAGTTACTTTAATTAAATAAAGATACAATTTGTATCAGATGACCAGCGCTGGTTCCTGACCCGGTCTGACCCGACCCGGTTCAACCCGGTCCGACTCGGTCCGGATCCAGAGCGCTGGGATTATTCCCAGGTGGATACCACGATACCAAAACACACCGACTGATGCTGGTCTGAGGGACGACCCGACTCACCTCAGGGACCGGTTCTGACTCTGGAGGGCCAGGATCTCTGCCACCAGAACCTGCGGGTCCAGAACGTGGGGGAACCGGACCATGGCCGAGTCCACCAGCTGGGCGCTGAAGATGGCCAGGAGCTTCTTCCGGACCACCTCCCTCTGCTCCGGACCCGGTTCTGGACCTGGACCAGTCTCCCATGTGGCCCGGTCCCCTGCCAGGCCGTGAGCATCGGGGATCCGTCCGAACGGGTCGGACCAGTACCGGTGCTGGTGCTGGTGAGTTTGGACTCTGCGGTGCTGGAAGTCTGGAGGCTGGCTGTAGGCGGGTCTGCTGAGCGGAACCGGGCCACAGCTGGGGTACCGGGCCGGGCTGTAGCGGGCCGGGTCAGTCGGAACCATCCGGGACGGGCCGTGTGAGCAGCAGAACGGTACCGGCCCGGTTCCGTAGGGCGTGGCGTACTTCGGGTCGGGGAGACTCCAAGGGTTCTGACTGTCTATGGATCCCAGGCCGGAGTCCAGCTGGTCCTGGCAGCCCTGGTTCCGGACGGGTCCGCGGTCCGGTTGCAGACCCACCTTCTCCTTCCTGGACTGGGACTTTCTGCCGGAGCGGTGTCCGGACCGGACCGGTTCCGGCTTCCTTCCAGAACTGCTGCCGTGTGCCAGAGTCAGTTTCCGGGCCAGGTCGTCCACTAGAGGCGGGTTCGGGTCCGAAACCGGGCCGGGGTTCTGTTTGGACCGCTCCGGATGGTGGAACTTACATTTGGTCCCGTACGTACATTTCTTCCCTGGAAGCAGAAACCAGAAGGTTCTGTCAGAACCGACCCGTCCAGAACCGGGCTTCACAGAACCTCATCAGAACTCAATTCAAATTTATAGTTTATATCCTCAAACTAAAACATTTCCTCTGACAGAACCCGCTCAGAACTCAGACCCGGTTCTGCTGTCTAAAGGTTCTACTGGGCCCGGTCAGCGAGACCCAGCTGGATCAGCAGAACCCGGCCAAAACCGGACCTGATTACCTGGAAGGAGAGACGGAGAGGATCCGGTTCTGATCTGATCCGGGTTCTGATCGGTTCTGGGTGTTTGGGTTGGTGAAGGTCCGATCTGAACCCAGTAGAACCAGACCAGTGTTCTGCTCTCCTATTGGACCCTGAGCTGACAGAATGTTTCTGCTTCCTGTTTGTGGAGTCTGAGCCTGGAGGACTTCCTGCCGCAACAGGAAGTGACGTCTCACCGTAGGGACACGCCGGCTTCTTCTGCGTCTTCGGGAACTTCCGGAGGAAGTTCTGCAGGTCGGGTCCGTGTCGGCCCAGCGGGTCGTCTGGCGGCATGAACCTGTCGGGTCGAAGCGGGTCGTCAGCGAAATGGCGGCCGGTCGTTTGCGGCGGGAAGCGGAGGGGGCGGGGCTTACTTGTTGTTGACGAAGGAGTACATGAGCAGCCGCTCCTCGATGAAGCGGCGCCACTCGGGCTTGTCGCCCTGCAGGTCGCGGTAAAGGTCATTGGACACGACGACGCCGTCCGACTCGAAGGCGTGCTTCACGATGAAGCAGTCGTCGTTGCAGACGACGCGTTTCCCTGCGACGCGGCGGGACGGCGTGAACACCAGGATCTTCTTCTTCTCCAGCTCCCGCAGGATGTGCTGATCTGCTCAGAGGGGCAGAACGTTAGCGCCGTTAGCTCGGCTTCCTGCACCGCCACCAGGGGGCGCCGTTTGTCACGGTAACACCTCGTCATGCTTTCATGTGGAGGAAGTAGTAAAAATAAAAGTAAAAAACAGTAAAAATGTCAGTTTCTTTTAACATTAACAGAAAATTATCAGGAGAACAATAAAATCAAAAGTCTTAGTAAAAAATATTTTTTCACAATAAATCAAATGATGCGATAAATGATCAACCCTCGTTGGAACCGTGTAAATCTGTCCCAATAAGTAACATAATCAATTAAATCGCATGATTAATGAAAATGAAATCTATCATTTCCATTTTCATAAAAAAAGTTTTATGTCTGCAGCTCTTCTCCACCAGTGGCGGCCATGTTGGATTTCTGAGTCAACGGTTGGTCAGCATCAGCTGCTTCTTCATGCGACCTGCTCCAGTTGGTTTTCCTGACTCTGACCTTTGACCTCTGGGTTCATAGCTGCATTCAGCTGAAGTTATAAACTCAGAAATCTCCACCGAAACAGTTTGGATCAGAAACCGTCCGGTTCTTCACAGGCGGCGCCGCTTAATGAAACTAAAGGAAAGAATCTCAGTTTTCATCTTACGGGACTTCAAGCTTTCATCTCGTTTGAGTCCTAAAGCTGCGACTCAAACGAGTCCTAGTTTGAGTCGTAGGACTTTCTGACTCTCCGTGACGCTGAGCTGCGGCTCCTGCTGCAGGCCTGAAGCTGCAGAGGAAACTTGCTGCTGTTTCCAGGAAGCTGCTGTTTCTTCGAGAATCAGGTTTTTCTCTGCAGCCTGATGTGACCTGGTTAGTTAAATTCACATCCTGCAGCCGGAGCTTATCTGCATGAGCAATCTGTTCATTTTCATGATGCAAACCAGCTGCGTTTTCCTCCAGATGAAGCTGCAGCATACGCTCGTGTTTTTGGTGTCAACCAGCGGAAAAACTAACATTTTTATCTTCACGATTTCAGTAAGAAGGAGAGCAGATAAAGCTCTTCGCTCGGAGTCTGGAAAGAAAACGAAGAAGTGACCCTGAGGGTTTTTCCCATCAGAGCGTCAGAGTTAACCACGTCCTGCTGAAGAACCAAACTACGCTCAGCACCGAGCTTCACACGCCGCTCCCTCTGCCCACAGAGCAACAAACCCAGTGGTTTCATTCTGTCAGGATGCAGACTGGGACAGTTTGAAGTTTGGTGAAGTTAAGACGTGAAGCAGGTGATATCAACGGGTTTCCATGACAACCAGAGTTTCTGAGGATCAACAGTGTCCAGTCTGACACCAAATATGAGAAAATAATCATGAACTGATTGCAGATAAAAGGATTGGTCCTTCTGCAGAGCAGGAACATCAGGAGGCTAACGTTAGCTTATGTGATGCACCATAAAATGGGAGATTTTAATCATCACTTGTTTATATTGTCAAGAAAATCTGCTTAAGACTATAAGCCACCGCAATATTATTAGTATTCCAGTGTATGTGTTTTTTTTAGACTGAATTGACCAAAATACCCCGTTGAAAAAAAAAAAAAAAAAAAAAAAAAACGGAACCAAAATGCGGACGGCGTTTCACCAGGAGGCCTAAAGGGAGGAGCCCCGCCCCCTCGCTCTTCAGTTTGGGGAAGAAGATGGCGGCTGTTCGTTTCACTGAAGCTGTTCATGTTTACAGGCAAGAGAGGCTCTCCACTAAGAAGAAAGGAGAAGCGGAGACACATCAATAAAAAAATAATCATTTGTTACAATCGTTTCAAACCATTCGAGACGTTTAACACTTAGCTGTGAGTTATTCTGATTTAAAGGTTTTAAATCAGAATAACATCATTAGCAGAAGCTAATGCTACCATGTTGACACCCACCATGTGTCAGTGACACGTTCTCTCAGACCAGCACAACTCTGCTAAAGTGCTAATAGCTGAGCTAATGTTTTTAGCACTTTTGTGTTTTTGCAAACTTTGAAAACGTTTAGCGCACTTAGCTTTCCCTACATTATTCTCTCCAGATAAATTATAAACCACTCATTTATTTGGATGTTTTATAAACTTAATAGATTTTAAACTGTTTATTGCTGAACTACAACAATGCATTCTGGGTAGAGAATAATCGTCATTTCCTGCATCATAAGTGGAAAAGTGAGCAAAACAATTCATTTATGTAAATATGTGCATGTATTTGTTTCTTCTAGCACCGCCTGATGTTTGTTAATGTGTCATATTCTTCTGTATACTGTCATGTTTCTGGCCCGTCTGCCTGCTATGTTTGTCCCCGCAGTTCCCACCTCTCATCAAGTTCATCTGGTTCACCTGCATGCTGAGTGCAATCAGGCTCATGTTTCCCACCTGTGCACAGCAGTTATATTCAGCTCTCAGGCAGGCAGACGGTGCCAGATTTTTGAAAGCCTCAGAGTGAGTAGATATCCAGCATTTCTTCCTGACCTGACCCCGTTCTGAACACTTTTCTGCCCCTCGGTTTTGCCTGCCTTGTCTAGCCCTCGTCGGATTCTCCACTGGCTTCTGTTTTCTGGACGCGACCCTGTTTCTGTCCTCTGACCTCTGTCTCCTGCCTCGCCCTTTGGATTTTGTCTGCTAGAAGTTGCCTGAACGTGCTGGACCCTTTTTCTGTGCCCTGACCACCGCTCTCTGCCTGACCCTCAGTCTAGTTTTACTCTGTCCTGCCTGCTCCTAGCTCCGTCCCTCCCTGGAGCTGCCACTGGTTGCCAGCCTTTGTGCTACCTGGACCACCCATCCTCCACAAACGCTAGGTAGGTTAGTGGTTCTTTTCTGTTCAGCTTGGCCTCTTCCCCAAGTATACAACCCTCTAACCTTCCTCTCTGTCCTCAGAAGTTCCGGTTCCTTTGCTGGTGGCTGCCTGTCCCTTACCCCGAACTTCAATAAAGAACTTATTATTTTGTACTTTGTGTCTGACTGAAATTTCGGGTCCTCAGTTCTGATCATTACANTGAAGAGTAACACATGAAACTGAAACAGGTCTCTTTTATAAGTAATGGAATCTTTCTGTTATAAACTACAAGCTTTTTAACACAGAGTAAACTTTCTGCACTTCTACATCTGAGAGAGTTATATTTTTATTCCAAATCAAATCCAGACCCAAAACATCAGTAGTCTTCCCTTAAAGACTGTTGTGATAAACTTACCAATCAGAGCCTCCCATTTGCCATTGGCCTGTGTGACCTCATACACACAGCGCATTTCACTGTATGCCATGCCTCCAATTATGAAGACTATGATCCTGGGACCGGTCTTCATCTCTGTGGGGCCTCTATTCTTGTGCCAGTTACCATAGCGAGCACTGGATGATGAAAAAAACAGCCTTTGTAGCACAATACTGAACAGAAAATAATTTATAGTTCAGGAACATCTACATTCTTTCTACAGAAATAATATCAACCATTAATACAGGGTCAAATATGTACATTTATTTGCATCATGTAATAGTTATAGTTGCGTTAAAAAAACATATGCACATATGCACCTTGACGGAGCACTGGCCTTGGCAGAGACTTGTCGCTGAGAGATGTATGGGTACTGTTTTGGGTCAAGTTTGTCCTCGATTGCATCCTGTAGAAACATGATCAAAACACATTCTGCTCTGCCATTTTTCTATAGATTCTGAATTATTAGGCCCAGGCAGCGACAGCACTGCAAAGTATTGTATTCATAGTGTTTATTTTTCATGGCCTACTAAAAGTTATCAAAACAGTGAATTTTTATGCATGGCGAAGGTACGTGGCCAGGTCTCAAACTCACTAAGACAACAAACCTTCAGTGATTGATCCCCATCCGAACCCTTACATCCATCCATCCATCCATTTTCTTCCGCTTATCCGGGGTCGGGTCGCGGGGGCAGCAGCTTCAGAAGGGAGGCCCAGACTTCCCTCTCTCCAGCCACTTCTTCCAGCTATTCTGGGGGAACCCCAAGGCTTTCCCAGGTCAGCCGAGAGACATAGTCCCTCCAGCGTGTCCTGGGTCTTCCCCGGGGCCTCCTCCCGGTGGGACGTGTCCGGAACACCTCACCAAGGAGGCGTCCAGGAGGCATCCTTAACAGATGCCCGAGCCACCTCAACTGGCTCCTCTCGACGTGGAGGAGCAGCGGCTCTACTCTGAGTCCCTCCCGGATGACCGAGCTTCTCACCCTTTCTCTAAGGGAGAGCCCTTACTCTGGGTTTCCCTGTGAAGGAAACCCAGTTCGGCCGCTTGTATCCGTGATCTTGTTCTTTCAGTCATGACCCAAAGCTCCCTTACAATACTCAATGGTTAAATTGTGACATGCTGCTTACATTGTTTACATTGATCTGTTCCTATCTGATTCCTGTGACCTAATCAACATGAAAGTGTGTCCAGTGACAGAAGACATCAGTGGAGGATGTGGGCGTGGCGAAGTCACATGTCATGATTCAATTGCCTGTATGCCATGGACTTCCATTTTAGCACTTCTGCATTTTTTCACCACATTCAACACTTTCAGTACACAGGGAACTAGTATGCTAGCAATGGCTCCTCGGTCGCTGATGTTCATTGAATAATTCAGACATCCTCAAAAGCTCCAACAACAAGAACAGATTTAAGCTGGATGTGTTAAGCTTCATAAAGAACTTAGAAGGTAAGTTAATAAATCGTTTGTGTGTTCACCGAAATGCCTCATATATGTCTGTCATAGCTAACACTGAGTCTTTCTGTCAGACTGTTTTCTGCTGGATCCTCTTGATTACTCTATTATTCATATAGCTTTACACCTGTGTCAACTGACTAACACGATGATGAACCTTCTCCACACTGGCTGGTGGTTGAACCATGTGGGCGTGGCTGAATGGCAAATTTCAAACCTGTAGCTTACCCTACAGGAAGTCCTCGCCAATCCTTCCACACAAAACAGGAAGTAACAATAACTCCTTTCTTGAAGGCCCAGTTTCAGCAAAACTTTTAAGACATGCTGCTGGCCTCGCATTAAACTGGACTGAAGGCTATTTGGAAGATTTGCCAAATGTGATGGCCCAGAGAGACATAGTCCCTCCAGCGTGTCCAGGATCTTCTTGCCTTGCAGCAAGAAGGTCCTTGCAGCAAGAAGGTCCTGGGTTCGATTCCCGGCCTGGGGTCTTTCTGTATGGAGTTTGTGGGTTCTCTCCGGGTACTCCGGCTTCCTCCCACAGTCCAAAAACATGACTGTCAGGTTAATTGGTTTCTCTAAATGGCATGGTTGTTTGTTGTCCTGTACTGTCTGTCTCTGTGACAGACCGGCATTCTGTCCAGGGTGCACCCCGCCTCTCACCTGGAATGTTAGCTGAAGATAGACACCAGCACCCATCCCGACCCTACTAAGGGACAAGGATGTATAGAAAATGGATGGATGCCAAATGCTAGTGCTGGCTGCGAGGGCTGTACAAGTCTGCTTGCAGATTTACTTATTATTATTATTATTATTATTATTATTATTATTATTATTATTATTATTATCATCATCATTACCGTTGTTGCACCATAAAAGCAGTACCTCAATAAGATCTTTGATGAGTGGTGTCCATCTGGAGAGCTGGTATGTCTGCTCACTGACCCGTTCCTTACGGTCAGGTTTCTTGGGCTTTTTCGTAGTTCCCTGCAACAAACACACCAGTAGACCTTTTCAAATGGACAGAAAAAATATGTTCAAAAGAGTAATTAAGAACAAAATCTTTTGCAGATATCCGCCATAAATTGGGTGCTAGGTGTGTTATATTTTGCTACATTTTCAAGTAAACTTATTCTGCAACATTTGGACTAAAACCATCTTAGTGCTGCCCCCTTTGGGATGAAGGATGGCTACTGCAGTTAACGTTTCATGTTGGTAAACGGTACAGCTTGGTCAATGTCTACAGCACAACCCCATATTCAGTTATAAAACCATCACATTCAGAAACGCTCCCATAGTAAGTCAGGAGTTGGAATTGTAAGCACCAATTAAACATGTTTTTATTTTTGCACATGTGTGATTCAAGCTCTCCCTGGGCTGCCACCTTATCGTGTTGGAGGGGTTTGAGTGTCCCAATGATCCTAGGAGCTATGCTCTCTGGGGCTTTATGTCCCTGGTAGGGTCACCCAGGTGCAGCCTGAAGACCCCTATGATGAGGAATAACTTTGGACTTGGTTTTCCCTTGCCCGGACATGGGTCACTGGGGCCCCACTCTGGAGCCAGGCCTGGAGGTGGGGGATGATGGCGAGCGCCTGGTGGCTGGGCTTTTACCCATGGAGCCCGGCCGAGCTCAGCCCGAAGAGGAGACGTGGGTCCCCCTTCTCATGGGCTCACGACCTGTGGGAGGGGCCAAAGGGGTCGGGTGCATTGTGTGATGGGCAGCGGCCGAGGGAGGAGACCCTGGCGGTCTGATCCTCAGCTGCAGAAGCTGCTGGCTCTTGGGATGTGGAACATCACCTCTCTGGTGGGGAAGGAGCCAGAGCTAGTGTGTGAGGCTGAGAGGTTCTGGCTAGAAATAGTCGGTCTCACCTCGACGGATGACTCTGGTTCAGGAACCAGTTTCCTTGAGACTGCTGCTGGGAACGTCTGGCGGAATCACCTGTGAGACGGAGCTGTAACTTCCATCTCTGGCAGAACTTTGAACACGTTCCAGGAGAGGTGGGAGACATTGAGTCTGAGTGGACCATGTTCCGTGCCTCCATTGCCGAGGCGGCTTATTGGAGCTGTGGCCGCAAAGTTGTCGGTGCCTGTCGCGGCGGCAACCCTCGAACCCGTTGGTGGACACCTTCGGTGAGGGATGCTGTCAAGCTGAAGAAGGAGTCCTATTGGGCATTTTTGGCCTGTGGGACTCCAGAAGCAGCTGATGGGTACCGGTGGGCGAAGCGGCATGCGGCTCGGGTGGTCGCTGAGGCAAAAACTCGGGCGTAGGAGGAGTTTGGAGAGGCCATGGAGAAAGACTTCCGCACGGCTTCGAGGCGATTCTGGTCCACCATCTGGCGTCTTAGGAGGGGGAAGCAGTGCAGCACCAACACTGTTTATAGTGGGGATGGTGTGCTGCTGACCTCGACTCGGGACGTTGTGGGCCGATGGGCAGAATACTTCGAAGACCTCCTCAATCCCACCAACATGCCTTCTGTTGAGGAAGCTGAGCCTGGGGACTTTGGGTTGGGCTCTCCAATCTCTGGGGACGAGGTCGCCGAGGTGGTTAAAAAGCTCCTCGGTGGCAGGGCCCCGGGGGTGGATGAGATCTGCCCGGAGTTCCTTAAGGCTCTGGATGTTGCAGGGTTGTGTTGGCTGACCCGACTTTGCAATATCACATGGACATCTGGGGCAGTTCCCTTGGATTGGTAGACTGGGGTGGTGGACTCCCTGTTCAAAAAGGGGGACCGGAGGGTGTGCTCCAATTACAGGGGGTCACACTCTTAAGCCTCCCTGGTAAGGTCTATTCAGGGGTCCTGGAGAGGAGGGTCCGTCAGATAGTTGAACCTCGGATTCAGGAAGAGCAGTGTGGTTTTCGTCTTGGTCGTGGGAACTAGACCAGCTCTACACCCTCAGCAGGGTCCTGGAGGGTGCATGGGAGTTCGCCCAACCGGTCTCCATGTGTTTTGTGGACTTGGAGAAGGCGTTCGACCGTGTCCCCAGGGGGGCCTTGTGGGGGGTTCTCCGGGAGTATGGGGTACCGGGCCCTTATATACGGGCTGTCAGGTCCCTGTACGACCGGTGTCAGAGTCTGGTCCGCATTGCCGGCAGTAAGTCGGGTTTGTTTCCGATGAGAGTTGGACTCCGCCAAGGCTGCCCTTTGTCACCGATTCTGTTCATTACCTTCATGGACAGAATTTCTAGGCGCAGCCGAGGTGTTGAGGGGATCCGTTTTGGTGGCCTTAGGATCGCATCTCTGCTTTTTGCGGATGATGTGGTCCTGTTGGCTTCATCAGGTCGTGATCTGCAGCTCTCACTGGAGCGGTTCGCGGCCAAGTGTGAAGCGGCCGGAATGAGGATCAGTGCCTTCAAATCTGAGGCCATGGTCTTGAGCCGGAAAAGGGTAGAGTGCCTTCTCCGGGTTGGGGGTTGTCCTGGCCCAAGTGGAGGAGTTTAAGTATCTTGGGATCTTGTTCATGAATGAGGGAAGAAGGGAGCAGGAGATCGACAGGTGGATTGGTGCAGCGTCTGCTGTGAAGCAGGCGCTGTACCGGACCATCGTGGGGAAGAGAAAGCTGAGTCAAAAAGCAAAGCTCTCGATTTACCGGTCGATCTACGTTCCTACCCTCATCTATGGTCATGAGCTTTGAGTCATGACCGAAAGAATGAGGTCCCAGATACAAGCGGCCGAAATGAGTTTCCTCCGCAGGGTGGCTGGGCTCTCCCTTAGAGATAGGGTGAGAAGCTCGGTCATCCGGGAGGGACTCAGAGTAGAACCGCTGCTCCTCCACGCCGAGAGGAGCCAGTTGAGGTGGCTCGGGCATCTGGTAAGGATGCCTCCTGGACGCCTCCCTGGTGAGGTGTTCTGGGCATGTCCCACCGGGAGGAGGCCCCGGGGAAGACCCAGGACACGCTGGGGGGACTATGTCTTTTAGCTGACCTGGGAACACCTTGGGGTTCCCCCAGAGGAGCTGGAGAGAGGTGGCTGGTCGAGGGAAGTCTGGGCCTCCCTTCTGAAGCTGCTGTACCTGCGACCCGACCCCGGATGAAGCGGAAGAAAATGGCTGGCTGGCTGGCTGATTCATTTGCAATGTGGATATGGAGAGGAATGTGTCTCAGCTCTGTCTGACTGCAGAGGTTATGCTTTTAGATCAGCATTGTTCCACTTCAAACATAAATCATTTAATATACATGTGAGTAGACTGGGACATTAGATCGGTGAATGTAGAATTAAAAATGACTTTAGGTTAGTTATACAACAAGGTTGCTTCTCTGACTTTGCTACATGAAATTCCAAATGTCAGGAATAGAGACATGCACAGACAGACACTAGGTGGTGATAGCGCACCTGACATTTTTCCTCTTTGGAAAAAAAAAGTGTCCATTTTGAAATGTTTTGTTTTGTTTTTACAGTGTATAATATATGTCCCAAAGTAGCATTTCTGGATTTTAAAACCTATTTAACAGTCCATCCTAGACTTCCCTCTCCCCAGCCACTTGCTCCATCTCTTCTGAGAGAAGTGCTGGAACAAGCAGTGTCCTACATTTTAGTAATTTTGTCTGACAAGAACCTCCTCCCCCACACCCTCTCTGTCCTCTCCTCTGCCGTCAGAGGCATGCCCTGATGATGAGCTAACCACTCAAGTAATAAAAAAAAAAGCCTCATAAAACTCTGAAGTAAATTTAAAACTTTACTGGCCTAAATTTAGTCAAAGCAAGCAGATCAATTTATCCATATTCCCCACTATGTCTTCTAAAAGTTAATTACAAATGGGTGTCTTTTTCAAGAGCAGAATTTGTGTTTGTGGGATTGTCACTGGTATGTTATGCAGTCACTGTCATACAATTATCAAAAAAGAAGTAATAAATAGCTTGTATTGTCATTTATATTGTTATTAAATTAGTACCATAACATTTTGTGATAAAACTTTAAGTCTATGTCACTCATCCCTACTATGCAGTTCATTGAGTTCCCTTAGATTAAAACCTTTGGAATAAAAACTGAATTTAACCAGTTGAATGAACTGAACAAACTTTATGTTTAACATAATTAAACTGAAGGATCGTAGCCGTCTCCCTGATCAGAACTGCTCACCTCAGAGACAATGGGAACGCCCAGATGGGCCATGTTGGAAATAATGTCACTGTCCTCAGGTGGGATGTTAGCATGCTGCAGGAGCTTACACAGGTTCTCCTCAGTCACACCTGACACAGAGGTTTAGATACACATGCAGCACACATGCATGCAAGCATGCACAGTCACATATTCAATTTATGCAAACAGCAGGATAAGTGAGATTAACTTCAAACCAGCAAAACAAAATGCAAAAATATATATATATGCATATATATCTAATATAATGATACAATCTTAATACAAAACACAGAAACATTGACCCAGATTAAATTACAGAGAAGACAACAATTTATATGCAAGGTCATAAAAAAGGAACTGGAAGCACTGATGCTATCTGACCATTCTTCATGAAGATGTAGAGCAGGATGATGCGTATCTTGTCGGACACGTTGACGTTGGCATCCAGGAGGATAGGAACAATGAGCCTCATGGGATCCTTGATCTTCTCACCCTCTGCATCTGTGCCCATTGCCAAATCCTGCAAATCAGTAAATGACAAATGATTACACTTCAAAAAATTAATATTTTTTCAGTTAAATTAAGTGTGCGTTAAATGCATGGTCAAGTTATTGGTTCTGGTGGGGGAGCAAAGTTTCTTTTTGAGGTTCTTTATTGAGATGCTCCGACCCAGTTTTTATACTTCCAATCTGATCCTGATATCTGAATGTGAAGTGATTCATTCATTATTCAATTAGGGCGCTCGGAACAATGTTCTAAAATACATTGTACCCTTTCTATACAATACTCCACCCTGATGTAGGGGGATAAAGGCACTTCCTCGGTACCCAACTTGTTAGATTCAGTAAAACCAACAGGCTAAAGAATGGGAACCATAGATTACCCTGGCTCCTTGCGTGCGTGTGTGTGTGTGCATGCACACGCGTGTGTTTGAGTGTTATACCTGCTCTACACGACAGAGTTTGTCCACTGTACCCTGGTAGCGGTTCATGCAGTCCTCTGCAAGGTGAAGATGGGTTGAATACTAAAGTAAGACAGGAAAGGTGCTTTTAGCAGGTTTGGCATAAATAACAATGACTAATGAAACATCAAGTCATCGTCTCTTAGTAGCACATGTATTAATGTTGCCAAGGATTTTTTGATAGAAAGATGTTAATGATTGCTGATCATGCCATAGAGTTAGTTACTATGGCAATGTTATGTGATCATACAAAGAGTAACATAATGCTCCTGTGGTAAATGAAACACCTCTGACCACACCTGTTGAATGAATGAGAATTTCTCTATGCAGTTTAAAAGGGCAACAAAGAGTCGCAGAACATACAATAAGGGCAAATTAGAGTGCTCAGTTAATATGACACATGGAAAAGTGGAAATTATTTTTTTAGGTTTTTATGGACTATAAGGGAACAGTTCTCATTATTAAGGTGTATAATTCATCAGCAGTCAGTATCCCACAGTACTATAAAATATTATTACTGATCTCTTCAGATTTTTTTGTCTACATTTTCAGATCATCAAGCCAAAAAGTATAATATCAGAAAAAGATGTGAATAAATACAAAATGCAGATTTTTATCATTATTTAATTATGTGAAAAAGTAACTGCTCAGACCATCTCTAGCATTTGCTATCAGAATCACATTATTTCCATTGTAAGTACAATGGTCCAAAATAATGT